AGTGGCTTTAGTTGGAGATTGCTGAAGCTTTCAAGTTAGTACACTAATCGACCTTGACTCAAGTATAAAAGGCTTCTTCTTTAGCAAAATAATTTTTTGGCTCAATCTTTTAGTCTCTTTTCAGCATCGATGTGCAGAAAATGAACGGTTATAGTTACTATATTTGAAGCCTTAGTTGATGTCCTTATATAAGACATATTCACAACTTGGTAAAAGTCGAACAAAGGATAGACAATTTGTGNAGCTATTATATCGANAATGGCTTGTATTTAATGATAAGTCAGTANGACAATCTTCATTATACTCTTCTCCAAACTCATTTAGATATTTTTGTATTTATAGACTGCTACGAACGGTTACAAACNAACAGACTTCCCATTCATTGCAATTCTCTGTTTCCCACTGTATTTCGTCTGTAACTTACAAAAAGCTTGTATCTAATTAGACTTGTATATAGGAGTTTGCGTGTAAGATAGTGTGGAAGATAGTAGAAAAACTCTCTTACAGTATACAAGCCATAGAAAGAGTACCCATCAATCTAATTCACCACAAAAACTCATAGAAACCTATTTCTTGTCTATAGTAAAAGAAAGTTTCTAGTTATGACAAGCAAGAAAATATTCCTGCTTTCTCTCTATTGTCATTGTACTTCTAGAAGTGTCAAAGAGATCAGTTTTACCAATAACCAAATAAACCAATCGCTCGAACAATAAAACATACACTCTCTTCCATCTCCTGTGAAAGTATTTCGGTCATTCATTTATTCATTAGTTGTGAATTGATTTCGGATTGGCGGTGGCGTGTAAAATGAGTTTGAACGAACCGTTGATAGATAGAAAAGAAGATGTTTATTCTATTCTTCGAACTTATTTCCACCAGTTTTCTTCAGTTGACGGAGAATTGAACAATGTACGTCCTGCAGCTTGCTTTTCCCCTCAGGTCTTTGGAGCTGGCAAGAGTTTTGTTGGAGAAAATTTTTTAGAGTTTTTAAAAAAATTCGCCGACGAAGAAGAAGAGCAGACGAAGACGGAGGTTTTCAACAAGAGCTCATCGGGAAAAGTTGATTTGAAGATTTTTTCTTGGAAACACTTTGCGGAAAACACTTTGTCAGTTTGCTTTAAACTAGAAGAGGGTTTTTCTCGTGCTCCTTTTCCAAGGTTTCTAGAGGCTTTGATGAATAATATAATTTTGAACGCTTACCGACAAAATGGTAAAGATAGGGACGCTCTTCAGATAGCTGAAAGGACGGTAAAGAATTTTGATATCGTAGGAGCTATTGATTATCTTCTCGAACAATTTCAGAAACGATATTTATTTTTGATGATAGACGAACTTAGCCACCTGAGTGACCTCACCAAATACTATAGTGAACTCGACGAGAAACAGTTTATCGAGTCTGACCGAAAATATGTACCTTTTCGGAAGTTTTTCCGCGTTTTGCGTGAATTGTTGATTACAGGAAAGGTAATCGTCTATTTGGCAGGTCGAACTGCTCAAATCTCAGCCCCCCTGTCTGATACTCGCTCCAGTAGTGTCACCCTCCATATGTTGCGGTTGAATCCCTTTAACATCCATGATATTAACGAATATATTGAGCTGGCAACTTATGATGGAAAGTCCTTGAAGGACTGTTTATTACCCTCCGATGAATTACGATATCGATTCGTAGAGTTGTTGAAAAAAAAGACAGGAGGTATTCCGTTGATTGTAAGGAATACTTTACTGGCCCTAGTAGAGAAAGTTGCAAACTTATCTCATCCTACTATCAACGATGACAATATGGAACCCTTATTAGATAGAATCTTTCGCGTGGTACTACTACATTCGTTAACGTTTATTATTCCAGAGATACTAGATTCCTCAACCCTTCTTCGATATGAATTTGTCTTTTTGAATTATCAACTCGGAACAGTTTTCCCAATCGGATTTGCAATTACTCTATGTGGAACGAGAACTTATTTGATGGACTTGGTTGCAACTTTTGGGTTTTATTCTGAAATTTGTGAAACTGACGGGATTGATTTGGGCACTAAGTTTAAGATTGGTTGTTGTGAATTTATATTGAGAGCTCATAGCAACTATAGCTTTTTCCGTGAGGCTACTGAACTCTTTCCTTTATCTCCGTTTAGTTATATTTCCGACACTTCAACAGCAAAGGGAGTCTTCTTTGAATTTGTATTTATGAAGATCTTTCGTTTTCGCTTATTAACTTTTCTTCATACTAGTTCCTCGCCTATTGTACATTCTGCTATTCCAGGAATTTTCCAGGGTTCTTTTATTGAACAGGACAATGTTTCTTATTCTATGGAATCTACAAAATCTAATGATATACCCATCTTGAGAAATGTCTCTGATTCATTTTCTGACCATTATAGAAAATTTTTACAACGTTGTGGTATTTTTGTTCCAAAAGATGGCAATTCTAGTGGCGCTGATGCATATGTTGTATTCCATAATGGACAAACACGTTATGTTGTTGGATTTTCATTCAAATTTTATCACAAAAGTGAATTTTCGAAGAGAGATATTGAGAAGGAAGCAGAACAATTTTTCCAAGAAGTTATTCCCGTTTTGAATAACGAATCTCCTTCATCTGTTCAACTTTGTTTTCAGTTTGTGGTAGTTTGTGCTAGTTATGTCGATCTGTC